AACCATTTTGGACAGTCGCATTCGACTGCTTTGTCACTTTCCTGCACATTTGAGCTGCATACCGCACATAGAGGTTGCTCTGTTGTGGGGTCATTAACATTACTTTGACTTAGGCCTACATCTGTATTTTCTGTATTGTTAACCATTTTTATTTACTAGGCTATAGGCTATATATAATTTTTTTTTTCCTTTTTCCTTTTTTTTGGGTGGGAAAGATAGGTTGGGTCTTTGGATGGTTTGCCCAGGGGTGTTGGGAGGGCTGTGGGTAGGTCTTTGGTTGGTGGATAATTTGCTTTAGGCCTAGGCCTATTTTGTTCCCTGCTTTCCCTACTTATTTATTGAGTGAGTTAGCCACCCAAAACCCCGAATTCCCACCTGTCCCCTAGTGAGTTGGAGTTATTGCTGGTAGTATCACGTTTTCGTGAATATCTCGCTTATTTGACCTCGGATCCAAAAAATTCTTGCATAGTCGTGATCTGCTAAATATTCCGGTTAATTTGAGTACCCACATGACGTGTTTTGTTCAAAAAATATTTTGGTCGTTTTGGTCGTTTTTCCGCGTTATGGTCGTTTTCCGCGGAAAAAGAACGTCATTTTCGGAATCAGCGTTAAATTTCGAGTAGAATGAAAAAAAAAGTTTCAAAAATCGCGTGCAAACCCTAAAATGCATATTAACCGGTGTTTTGTCTTGGACTAAAAAAGTTGAGAGTGCCAACTGCCAAATTCTATCTTCATCACATTTATTAAAAAAAATTTGGTAACTTGATACTTGGTACTTTCCCGGTTAAGAAATCGTGCTTTCATTTGATGCTTCGTGTACAGGTTCTTAACTGGGCTACGATACTATCGGATGAAAATATCAATCAGCAATCGAGATTGTGATTATTACACTTTGATTCGACTGTTGAATAATCGCATGTCCATTATTCAGCCTATAATCGATTCAATTTTTTCAAAATGGAGGCCAATCTGTAATTTGCAGTTTCTACACAAGTACACATCCCAGGAATATTACCAACATGGACATTGACAACAAAATTCAAATTTAGGGTACAGTTTCTTAACTGGGCTACGCTAATATTGATTGAAATCATTGAATTGAAAATATTGATTAATAATCGATACTTTAAAATATATCTATTATAAAACTAAACTATCATAACCTAACCTAACCAACCAAACTTGCTGCTGATGGTGAAATAAAGCATGAAGGTTTACTAATCGAATCGATAGTTTCAATCAATATTAGCGTAGCCCAGTTAAGAAACTGTACCCCAAATGGGTTAGTCAGCCAAAAATTCCTAGAGATAACCGAAAGCCTATCAATGAAAAAGCTTAGGCCTGGACTCGTACCAGCTTTAGTAGATTATTCTACTAAAACATTCTTCTGTTACATGACCCTTTAACATTTCAACAAATTTAATATTAGTTTTAATTTTCGTCTATAAGTATACTATTTAACAGCAAACAACCTAACTAACCTTGTAGTCTAGTCTTCGTCCAACTTTTAAGCCTGACTGAACTAAACCTGATGAATTAAATTTTAATAGTGGTATCCGTCACCAAATAATCGTTGCATTTATTATTTCTTATCAAAACCTAACAGGTTTTAACTAACTTACGTAATCAACATCCAATTTCGAGGTTAATTTATTGTCGGTTTCCTTCCGGTTGATGTTGTCTGAAGTCTGACATTGACTTTTGGTTTTGACAGCAAAGCAAAACCAAACCAAAGCAGACAGTGACAGTTCATAAAACTACAACTAACTACATTAGTGAGTAAAAACAAATCAGCTGGTAACCAGTTTAGCCAACTGTAGAGCACACCGAACCTTACTATAACATTATACTGTATTAACTTAAACAAAAGTAACTGAAAAAATATTGTATACCAGGTTGGAATTTAAAACGAACGGGGGAAATGTCACAAAATCATAGTGTATAATATACTTTAGTCTCCCAGCTGTCTAATGCAACCATCTACAGGGTGGATGAAAAGTAAACTTTTCACTCCCTTTATTTTTTTTACTATTTAAGATGATTTGAAATCAGTTTGCGGCACCCTTTATATGAGGGGCTACAATAATTATGGTTAATTTTTATAAAGATTCCCTTTAGGATAGGGGGTAGGAGGTACCGGTAGCTCAAAATTTTCAAAGTTGACTTTGGTATAATTTTACAGGTTATTATGAACCTAAACAATTGACATAAAGAAAATGAAATAGGGGGTAATGGCGCCCTAAAAGGGACAAAATATTACTTCTAACAGCAATTATGGGGAGTTGGAGATTTTCGAGGACTGTTCACTAACCACGTAAACATATGCTATTTTTTTTTCTAGGACGCTAGGCACGAGCCCAGGATTGTATTTCACGTTACTTCAGGCTAGACCTATAACTGTACTATTACTGTACATTTTTTTTTATAGTAAGGGGTTGTCACTTAGATAAAATCAATGGTGATTTGGCGTTATTTGAATCCTGGACCTCAGGCACCGAAGTCCCGCGCTCTAACCACTAGACCAGCTCTCTCCTCCATGGCGATGTTATTAGTAATAATGATATACTGTTAATACTGTTCTATGAAATGGCGACCATACAAAGTAGGTATTTTAAGCCAAGTATGAATGGAGATGAGTGTAGGATGAGTGGCGCGATCTTGTAGTCTTGTTAGTGACTAAGGCCGACATTCCTTAGACACAGCTGTTAATTAATAGCCCATACAGCTAATGGCAACTAAGGGACCTACAGGGTATGATAATAATGTTACCTTGAAACAAATTGAAAGTTAATGAAATTGGCTAATAGTAAAATTTGTAACAACCTGAATACAATGCTGTTTTAAGGCGCGTTATTAAAATTAATTTTTATTGCCATTTTATTATTGGTGTTCTAACTTTCCTGATTTAAATTATTTCGTTTGATCAAGACCTGAAAAATTATACCAAAGTCGATTATACTTCCCATTTGAAAGTTTTGAGTTACCCCCCCCCCCTACCGCCACTTTCCCTGAAGGTATTTTTTTTAATTGACAATCCGATTTATCTCAGTAGAAACTAACCCACAGTAGTTGACTTTAATCAATTTTCTTTATACTAAGTAACTTAATATTGTCACTTCGTAAATATCACTATTAATGCACACCATCAGGTGTGCACCACTTATTTGCACACCTAATAATATAGGTGTGCAAATAAGTGGAGACGATAACTCGAGCAATTTTGCTTCTGCCATGAATGTATAGAGCTGGATAAACTTGAATGAGTCCGTGAACCAGCAAGATCAGGTCATAGGAAAATTAGTAGTCATACTTAATGTTTTTTTTTTAATTTTTACCATTAAAACTTGGATATACCCAATATTCATTACATCCATCACGTAGGGATTTTTATTTATTATAAATCCCATCCATAACCAAAAATGGAAGGGTCCTGATCTGATCGTAACAGTAGTTGCGTCCAAACCGAAATTCGCTCGTTTTGGAATGCTTGTATTTAGGATGACAATAATGCTGGTAGGGTGGTACATATATCAAACTCCTAACAGCTTGAATTGTCTACTTTTCGGTCAGAAAGGGCCAACAGATGTTAGTGCTTTCTTATAGCGGTTCTCATGAGACTTTCACAACAACTACATTGTGTATTAATAAAAAGTCCATATTTAAATGTCTGCGACTATATGAGTCACATTTTACTTTTTGACACTATTCATCCATTTAATATATTCTAGAATGCGACAACATTCCCAGCTAACAGAGATCTTCTCACTTTTAGCTTTTTGAGCGTTATAATTCCTGAAGTCCCCGTTAATCCAGCGTGTCACAGTAAACAGGATTAATTATAATAAACGAACTTATAATGTAATTTTTAAAAATAAACCAGATGGCTCTATCCAATTTAAAAAGAAAAACTCTCTTTTAACACTAGTCTAGAGAGGGATTTCAACATTGCAATTTTTATTGCCGTAAATACAAGAAAAGTCCTGTGTGGAAAATTAACAAAGGCAATAAAAACCAGTGTGCAAAGTGGTTCTTAGGTCCATCCGATCGACCGCTTGAATCACAATTCATGCGAGTATTCCACGATGCCAAAACGCCGATTAAAGACTTAAAACATAGCTGATAACGTTAAATACATAGCTTTCAGAGACCGCAGTGAGCCAAGCGAACCGCAGAAATCCGGCGTTCGTTTATGACAATTCAGTAAACACTAGTTTAGGGATATTAATACTGACGTAAACAACACAAAGCAGTTTCTTATTCATGTTTCCAATGCCATATATAAAATACGTATTTCGTATTTGTAGCCGTTATTACTCCTTCAGACACTAGACATACATCAAGTCTATGTGAATAGGTGGACAGATGACAGTCCTGGGTGTTGTGTTTTATCCGACAGACAACAATCGGCCCTGAATAGGTAAATAGAAATCAATACATACCGTTGTCTATTGTTGATGTTCAGTGATAAGCATTGGTCAAAATAAGTTGTGATATCACTACGAATCAATGCAATTTATATCGATTAGACCCAATGGAGTACAAGACCAGTGCATACAGAACGCCACAGTTAGTGTTACCCACGAAATGAAAATATTACAAAAAATAATATTCCATACATGGTTTTCTGGTAAAGGTGCACCGTCTGATTGAAGGATGTCTCATTGCTTAAATGAGCAAATAGTCCTCTGAATTAGCCATCTATTGCCTTATAGTCCTTCAGTCCACATGCATTCGGAGGAAGTGACACACACTGTCACAAACGTCAAAATCAACCTTTGACCCATTCACGTCGGGACATTTCGATCCCGATCCTGTATGTGAATGTGGGGCAGGAGTATCGGAGGACTAAGGACTGTAGGATCGATATACAGTCTAGATGTACGCCGGTCCGATTCTCCTGCCAGCCTTTAAATAACCCACAGCCGCGCAGACGCTGCCTCTTACATACGGCGTTTGTTGCATTTCCACAACTTATTAACTTATTAATGTATATTTGCTATGAATGACGCATAATCGTGAGCTGTGAGTGCGAGTGTGTGAGTGTGTGTGTGTTCGGTCAGTGACAGTGCGGTGGACTGGTGGAGATGTTCGCGCTGTGGTATTTATACTACGGGTACAAGGAGCTCAAGTAAGTTAAATAACTCATTTATTTCAAGAATGCCAATTATAGCACGATTATTTGATAGAGGGGATAAAAAGTGGGGGGAGGCTCATAACCTATAAACCATCCGTGGTGGGGGGTTGCTTGCTTGAGAAAGGGTTAGGAAGGTTTGGGTACTCTTAAGAGTTTAGGTAGAAAATAACTTTATCTTAGAGAATGTTTTAATAGACTTTAATTGAAAAGTGAAGCTACAACTAACTAATTCGATCAGCTGTTTGACTTTCTGACAACCCGAAGGTGACCTCTCGATCCAGTTCAGCCTCGTAAACTCAGCTTCAAAATTAGAAACTGGATCTGTTGGAGATTGTTTAGTCTGCGGTCAATTTTAAGTCAATAGTTGAGGTTTTTCACTTTTGCTTACGTCTTTATGAATACGCATTTGGAATAAGTTACTTTTAAAAACTATTGAATATTGATCCATTTTTAGATAGGAGTCACTGCGTGGTTTTGTTTTTATAAAACCCTGCATTATATCCACTTTGAGGCGAATGCACATGAAAAATACAATATGACATAATTCCAGGAGCATGTTTGATGTTTTTAAATGCATTTGTACTAGACCAATAAATCTACAACTAAGTAGTTTTATAAAATGCCATACAGCACTTCATATTACTAAGCAAACCCATTGACCAATTATTTAAAGCGTGTTTTATGTCCACCATAAATCTATTGTAACTTCTACTAACAAATTAATTGGATTTATTTATTTTCAAACTATTGCTCGTCCTCCGGTATCATTGCCAAATAAGTGCACGTTGAAGAATTTACTTTACTACGGATCCAAATCCAAGTCATAATTTAATACCGGACGTGATAATTTTACTTTCAGTATCCAAAGTAATGTGATTATGTTAGAATAATCATGTCATTAAAATACATTTAAATCTAGACAGGTCTTCGTTGAGTATCGTGTAGTAGAGAATTGAAATGGGGTTTTAATATATAAATTTGCCCTCTTAACTATTTAGAGGTCTGAAGGAACACTTCATACTGAATACAGCATCGCTAACAGAAGAGGTCTGTTATGACCAACAACATACAACTAAGATATAACAGATTATTCGTAAACATACAAATTGCTATAATTCATAGGTTTGGTGTGTTTTATTTTAAACAATGACAGTAATTCCTACGTCAAACTTCTCTGCGGATATTAATGAATCACTTTCCAGAAATGGAAACAACTCACTTTGATAACTTGTGAGACAGCAATACTGTACATATGATTGAAGAATCAATTTATGACTTATATGCTATCATAAGGAAGTATATTATATTCTATTGGAATTCCTTATAAAAAATGTTTCATTCGGAAATATTAATAAATAAAATAAATAAAATAAATAAAATAAATAAAATAAATAAAATAAATAAAATAAATAAAATAAATAAAATAAATAAAATAAATAAAATAAATAAAATAAATAAAATAAAATAAATAAAATAAATAAAATAAATAAAATAAATAAAATAAATAAAATAAATAAATAAATAACTGGCTGAGCAGCTGAGTGGTTAAAGTGCTCGCCTTACAATCAAAATGTCACCGGTTCGATCCTGATAAAATGTCAGTGGCTTTTTGATGGTTCGAAATTAACGGAATGCAGCTGTCTCTGATAATTGGGCTTTCAATAAATGATCAGCTGATGAAGCAGCTGATCTTAGTCAGTAACAAAAGCTGTACAGATCATCTCACACCACTCTACACTCATCCCTCACTCATGTTTGGGTAAAAATACGCACCTAGAGGTGACGTCTCCATCTAAATAATAATCGATTATTGATCATATTAGTTATTTTAAAAACTATTATGTCTTGGGAAACGTGTAGTTACTATTTATTTTATTTTGAACATTTATATTTATTCATTATAAAAATAAATTAAAACTTACTCAAAACCCACACAGGGTTTGGTAATTACACTACTTCATAATAATCTTGGGAATTTCTTAGGACAAATTTAGGTTTATAGTTTTGTTAAGTTATAATAAAAGCTACAACTTGTTACAGTTTGTGGCATATTTCTTATAGCACCAATAATATTGTTATACACATAAAAGGCTTCAAGCTATCAATTGCCTGCTAGAAAACTATGGACCAAAGCATGGAATGTAAAAAAGTTATACTTTGAAAAATAACATGCTTATTGCAGGGTTATAATTTGTATGATGTATAATTTTGCTTAAAACAATAGTATGATAAAATGTTACTGGGCAATCTGAAGACGAGTATTTTAAGTATAAGTACTATCTTGGAATAATAAGTAGACTAAACACTGCACCTACACTTACAGCTTGTCCAGCCCATCTTTGTGTGGGTTAAAAAAATAATTAATCACAAGATGTTAAATTCGATTAGATTTTACACTTTTTAAAATTTGTAAGGGAGGCGTTCTTGCTTTTTCATCAAGTACAAATTAAGTAATGTTAACGTAAGAGTTAATTTTATTCTGCCTGGCACACTACAGAAGTAGCTTTGCCAAGCAGAAGTCATGTTTAATGTTGATGTTGGTCCGTTAAATTACTTTCATGTATTGAAAAGACAACTGGACACATGTCAAAGTATCTGAAACCGTTACTTTTATTTTGAAGAAAATAACGACTTATATCATATTTTGCAATTTGAAGAGACCTGTATTTGTATTAATAATTATTTTCAAGTTAAATAAAAATAAGCGTAGTCTTGATGAACACTAATATGTAGTAAAAACCACATGTAGAGCAAGTGTTCTCATGATTATTCAAAATTAAAATTCAACCTTTTTCCTAATTAATTAATCACTTTGTTAGGCGGAAACATACGAATCAGTACGTATTGGGCGTCCAGTGGTCGAAAACTCGACCAAAAATATGTAATGTACAGACTTCTCTGCTTTCACACCACGCTGTAAACAAAACATGTGTTTGGAATTTCTCCCATTTGTATTGATTTTATGTTTATATTTCGTTGTTATTTCTTCACCAGCATGACATCCCTTAAGGCTCATGTTAATTTGTTTAAATTTTAAATTTATTTTGTGTGCTTACTTTTGAGGCTATTTAATTTATAAAGGGATTCTGCACAGCTACAGAAAATATAATTCTATCATTATGCGTAGATTTTCCCTGTGATGCACACGAGCTGAGGAAAAAGGTTTTAAAGAAACATGCTTCCCTATTAAATAGAAGATAGATAGACATGAATTCAGGAAGGTACAAATGAGTGAAGAATAAAGCGAATTTAAGACCACCTCCTTCTTTAACCAGGGTAATTTATTAAAATACCAAAAGATCAAGAACCTCTAGATTTAGTTTGAAAACATTAAATCTACTGTATTTTCTTGTGATATGAATCCAGTTGATTGATGGAATCCACTCGTCTAGCACCCCTCTGGTTTATTGAAATTCGCATTTACTTCCTCCCCATCTTTTTAGATTACCCCATTATATTAAAGCTAGCTCCTACTTAGGCATAAACAATGATTACCACGCCTCCTAATTTCTACAAGTTCTTTTGTCTTGCTTGCCAAATAAAGTGTGAGTATTTACTTCCAAATGATCTCGCAGATGGTGCCCAAGTCACCTAATAAAACAGTTTTTTTGATTTGGATGGGTTATTCACAAAGATGGAAGAGATAACAAAGTGCCCAGTTGTTGGCATTGACCGCCAGAATAGGTATTTATACCCGTGCAGTAAACAGGGCCAGAAATAGTGGGAGCGGCGCTGCCAAAGACACGAACACATTGCCAGCAGTACAGGCAGATGGGTAGGATCCCATGTAATATTGAATAGCAGACTACATAAATCTCGGAGACACAGCGAACGTATGGGGATTTGTAACATGGTGTTTTCATATTGTCACAACAATCGTAGGATTTTATATTGCAACGAGTTGTCTTTTTCAGAACTCGTTGACGAGTTCCCTTTTAAACATCATTTCCAAAAAAGGTTACCTTTCTAATAATATTTGTTCGTTCACGTTGACCTTACAGGTTTCTTTGAAGATAGTATTGAGCAATGAAATAGGCATGCACTGTGGATGCGATACTCCCTGGTGTGGATTAACGTCCGCACGAGTAAGTATTACGACTATCCGCAGTACTATCCTGATAATTAGACCAATTCGTAAATTACAAGGAAAAAAATGTAGTTCGGATTCCACTATAAACTGTAGGTCCCTTAGTTGCCATTAGCTGTATGGGCTATTAATTAACAGCTGTGTCTAAGGAACATGTCGGTCACTAACAAGACTACAAGATCGCGCCACTCATCTTACACTCATCCTTCACTCATATTTGGGTTAAAATACGCACATAGTGGCGTCCCCATCTTAAATAATTGATAATTGATAATTGAGCCACCGACTCACCGTCGACATTATAGAGCCGTTCTATGGCTCCACCGTCACGGATTGTCAGCTAGTTAGGTTAAAAAATCTTAAAACTGAGAATGAACAAAATCGTGTAATTATTTTATTATTTTTGCCACACTTTACCTAATCAGCACCCTAACATTGTTAAAACTCCAAGAAACGCTTCAGTGAAAAAGGTTTACAAAATTTGTAGCTCAAGAGCCATCTTGTCGTTTGTTGGCTCACCTCAAGGGCCGAGAACAAAGACAACCTCACGTCATTAAACAGCTAAACAAACCAGCACTTGGCTAAGCCCTCTTCTCCAAACTGCGCTATACTGCTATCTGAGAAATTTTTACGAGTAGCCTACATTTACACGAAGGGGCGCTCTTATATCCAATGGTAAACTTCTATGAAGCCATAAAGTTTATAGGAATATTGTTTAAATCTAGGCAACTTCTGCACTCAAGCATTCAAAACATTGAAGAACAAAGACAACGCGCTTGCGCTATACAGAACACCTCTTGCCAACAAGAAAACATATTTATACTCCGCGCCAAAGGTGGTGGCGGCTGAGGGATTAGGACAGCCAGGTAGGACTACATAGGTCGGACCTGCTCACCGACCTGGCCGT